GGTGAGACCCCCTGTCAGTGTTGGATGGAGGGGGAGGGGTGAGACCCCCTGTCAGTGTTGGATGGAGGGGGGAGGGATGAGACCCCCTGTCAGTGTTGGATGGAGGGGGAGGGGTGAGACCCCCTGTCAGTGTTGGATGGAGGGGGAGGGGAGAGACCCCCTGTCAGTGTTGGATGGAGGGAGAGGGGTAAGACCCCCTGTCAGTGTTGGATGGAGGGGGAGGGGTGAGACCCCCTGTCAGTGTTGGATGGAGGGAGAGGGGTAAGACCCCCTGTCAGTGTTGGATGGAGGGGGAGGGGTAAGACCCCCTGTCAGTGTTGGATGGAGGGGGAGGGAAGAGACCCCCTGTCAGTGTTGGATGGAGGGGGAGGGGAGAGACCCCGTCAGTGTTGGATGGAGGGAGAGGGGTAAGACCCCCTGTCAGTGTTGGATGGAGGGAGAGGGGTAAGACCCCCTGTCAGTGTTGGATGGAGGGGGAGGGATGAGACCCCCTGTCAGTATTGGATGGAGGGGGAGGGATGAGACCCCCTGTCAGTGTTGGATGGACGGGGGGAGACCCCCTGTCAGTGTTAGATGGAGGGGGAGACCCCCTGTCGGTGTTGGATGGAGGGGGAGGGGGGAGACCCCCTGTCAGTGTTGGATGGAGGGGGAGACCCCGTCGGTGTTGGATGGAGGGGGAGGGGGGAGACCCCCTGTCAGTGTTGGATGGAGGGGGGAGACCCCCTGTCAGTGTTGGATGGAGGGGGGACACCCCCTGTCGGTGTTGGATGGAGGGGGAGGGATGAGACCCCCTGTCAGTGTTGGATGGAGGGGGAGGGGTGAGACCCCCTGTCAGTGTTGGATGGAGCGGGAGACCCCCTGTCAGTGTTGGATGGAGCGGGAGACCCCCTGTCAGTGTTGGATGGAGGGGGGGAGACCCCCTGTCGGTGTTGGATGGAGGGGGGGAGGGGGGAGACCTCCTGTCAGTGTTGGATGGAGGGGGAGACCCCCTGTCGGTGTTGGATGGAGGGGGAGGGGTGAGACCCCCTGTCAGTGTTGGATGGAGAGGGAGGGGGGAGACCCCCTGTCAGTTCCTACTGCTGTCTGTGCCCCTATTAGGGAGATCCCCCCTCCCCCCCCTCCCTCTATGTCCTGTTTACCGTTATCACTGAAAGTGAAATAAATCCCAAATGTTGGGTTGTCACCAGAACAGTAATGGAGGGAATTCTTCCAATGGGGACACTGGTTCTGGTGATCTGGGGGGGTCCCCAAGGGATTCCCTTTATTTGCAGGGATTTCCTCTCACTTCCTGGTTTGGCTATGAGACAGGAAGTGAAGGGAAATCTCCCCAATGGGACACCTGACAGGAAGTTTCCCCCCCCCCCCATTTCTCTATCCAATATTACAAAAAAAAAAAAAGTTTTTCCTGGGGTTCTACTTTCAATGTAAAGTCCTGACACGTGAAGAGAGACGGCCGCCGTTCCCATTCAGCATCAAGTTACTTTGACCCCCCCCAATATTCACCTTCCCGGGGCTCCCCTGATGTCCTTGCCGGGTTGCTGGTGACACCGATATTTGGTGCTTGCACGGCGGTGTCAGCGTATGAAGAGGATTTATTCCGTACAATATGGGGAATGCTCACATGTGGTGCCCCTCCTCCCATGACAGGTCCTCTTTAATCCCAGTGCTGGGTGAATGTTGCTCGGGAGCCCCATGGTAAAGGTTCCTGCGGGCAGCTCGTTCATCTGGTATTTCCACTATTACATCCTGTTTGCACTTTTCATAGAGCGCTAAATAAACATTTGTCGTCTGTCTGTCTCCTGACAATTCTGTTCATTCACCACCGGCGGGAGGGGCGTGGCTTCTTCTCTGTGTATACCAACCTGCTCTGCATAACAGAACACAGAGCCTCATTCTACCACATGGGGGGGGGGGGGGGGTATGAGGTTGGCTGCACATATGTATGGACACCTCTTCTGACCCAGTCTGTCCACACAGTATGGTCACCTGCTGACTCGGCACCATCCACAGGCAGCGTAACTCTTCCGTAAGACACAGAATTTGAATCCATCACAGTTTTCCTCCAGCTGATTGCAGTACAGAGGATGTTCTTCCAGGCTTTGGAAGTGTATGAAGATGTAGCCAGACCCAGACCGGCCATAGGGCACACTAGGCATTTGCCTGGTGGGCTGAGGCTGCCTGTATAGGAGGGGCAGCCAGGTGGCAGATAGTGGAACCATTCCGTGGCAGGAGAGAACCGGTGTCAGGAGAGAAATGCATGGAACGGTTCCTCTATGTGCCGCCCCAATCATCCAAGGGAAGGGATCAGTGACAGTTCAGGAAGGTCAGGCACTGGTGGCTGGAAGGGGGGAGGTGCAGGGCCCCAGAGGTGTAATGGTCAGGTTGCTGTGAGGCAGGCATGGACAGGGAAAGACACTCTTCAGGGATTTCTGGCAACAGCGCCCCTCCCAATGTGGAGACTGGGGCACATGCCCCCCCCCCCCCCCCTAGTTTCGGCCCTGCTGCAGTGGCTGGAAGTAGCTCATCTAGCTGTGCCACCTGACGGCTTCCTGCCTGATCTCATGGACATCCTTACTTGCATCTTGTTTCTGGTGGACCTTGAAATGTTGCTCCCTGAACTTCCTGATTTAGGCCGTGTCTCTGCACTTCTTGTTTGGCAGATTATTGTGCTCCTCTCCCGCCAGTATCTTGTTCCTGAAGCTCCTGCTGCTGTCCTTATCTTCATTGCCACTCATTGCCAACCTTTGGTTCGTTCCTCGACTACGCTTCTGCTTGATACCTACCTGCTACATCTGCTATTGGACCCCAGCTTGCTCACCTCCTGTGGGGCAATCCAGAGGACCGCGACCTGAAATCCATCTCCACCATCAGGAGCTCTGGTGAAGATCAGCTAGTGCTTATACCCCACATCTTGGGTGAGCCTGCATCATCCGCCAGGGGGACCTGCTTGTGCAATTTTCCTGCTAGTTTGTGTGTGAACCAGGGGTGGACTGACAACTCCTGGGGCCCCCGGGCAATAGGGGATCATGGGGCCCCTGTGTCCTTGCCCAAACTCAAAAAAGCCTATGAAAAAGGTACCAGGGGCATCTCATGGGGCCCCCTAATGACCCCAGGCCCTCGGGCAGTGCCCGAGTTTCCAAATGGTCAGTCCGCCCCTGGTGTGAACCTTTTCACTGCTACAGCCTCTGGCTTCCGAACCCGACTCCAGACCATGACACCTACTATATGGTCAAAAGTATGAGGACACTCCTTTTGCTTTCCATCGTGTACAAAGCCAACTCCATTAAGACATGGTTTGACCAGTTTGGTGTGGAGGAACTTGAGTGTTCTGTACAGAGCCCTGACCTCAACCTACTGAACACCTTTGGGATGAACTGGAACACCGATGGTGAGCCAGGTCTTCTCATCCATCATCAGTACCTGACTTCACAAATGTACACAAATTCCCACAGACACTCTCAAAAAGTCTTCCCAGAACAATGGAAGATATCAAATCCACAAAGGAAGCAACTCATTATTGGCCACTAGGGGTGCAAATCCGTATTAATGGTCATGATTTTGGAATGGGATGGCCTACCAGCTCATAGAAGTGTGATGTTCAGGTGCATAAAACCAGCTCCATAAAGATATGGTTTGACCAGTTTGGTGTGGAGGACCACAAGTGTCCTCCATAGTGCTCTAACCTCAACCCTACTGGACACCTTTGGGATGAATTGGAACACCAATGGTATTGGAACAATAGTGGTGCCAGGTCTTCTCATCCAAGGGGAGCTCCATAATAATGAGCATGGAGGGAGGCAACTCCATTTTAATGGTCATGACAGGGAATAGGATGTCCATTAAGCCCATTAGTGATGTGATGGTCGGTTGTTCACCAACCTTTGGCCATATAGCGTACATTCCCTACAAAGGTAGAGAGGGACAAGAGATCCAGACTTGCATAGAGTCGCTGAAGACCTCTCAGGTTTCTATCAAAGTAAAGTGCAGTCATCCCGGTGCGCTCCTACACAGAAAGGGCGGGGCATGCGGTAACAAGGCAGAATAGCCTAAAATAACTGTAGGACACATTGACCAACTAAATGTTATTTCTCCAGGTGCTTCCAAAGACGTTCTACCGAAACCCATTCATCGTTGTGATTTATATACATATATAAGAAGTCTGCGCCCTGGAAAACGGACATTTTACCATATCAAAGCCTTCAGACTCGTGTTTTCTTAAACTGTATATTTTAGAAATCAGATCAGAAACGCTAAACAAGCCTACGCAGGTCTATCGAAATACGTCCCTCAAACCACACGGCCGGCTAAGTTGACGTTAGCAAAATAGTGTTTGCCGTCCAGCCCAGCCGTGTTCCTGCTCCTTCCTCCTGGAATACACTGAGGCCTTTCATGGTACGTGGGGTGATCCTGCGAGGTAGCAGTCTGGAGGACAAACAGCATTACACGGGCGGCCCGACCTCGGCCAAATACAACATTTTTCTAAGAAATTTGTTTCAAAGGCGGAATTTGACCTACAAAATCAAACATCTGAAAACACTTCTGTAGAGTCATCGGAGATGAAATGAAATGTTGTTGCGGGGTACCTTGTGTGTTCCTTAGTAACAAGCCGCTGTTTGCGTGCGTCTTGCCGAGTCCTTCGCTCTATGAATGAACATTTCCATTCAGAACTCGGCTTTTTTTTTTTTTTTTTTTCATTGTTCTGCCAAAAGTGACCTATAGGGCCGAGCGGCAAAGCCATCAGATTTGTCATTAGTATCTGGTAGCCGTCATGTCGGCTTCTAGAGAACCCCGTCCTAAAAGACGGACCCAGAGGTTGCACTGCGCTAAAACGCACTAAAACGCACATTCCCTCAATGTATGGCAACGCACTGCAACGCACTCGCCATGTCTGGTGTATTGTGGTGCCATTTATTCTGAATGCAATCTCAACACGCTGTACAGCAGAATGCAACGCACCGCAGCGTGCCACAACCCAGTGCACCGAGACTGATGGGGCGGAGCCGGTACACCTGTACAAGACTGATGGGGCGGAGCCAGTACACCTGTGCAAGACTAAAGGGGAGGAGCAGATACACCTGTGCAAGACTAAAGGGGAGGAGCCGCTACACCTGTGCAAGACTAAAGGGGAGGAGCCGCTACACCTGTGGAAGACTGAAGGGGAGGAGCAGGTACACCTGTGGAAGACTGAAGGGGAGGAGCCGATACAATTGTGCAAGACTAAAGGGGAGGAGCAGATACACCTGTGCAAGACTGAAGGGGAGGAGCAGGTACACCTGTGCAAGACTGAAGGGGAGGAGCCGGTACACCTGTGCAAGACTGAAGGGGAGGAGCCGGTACACCTGTGCAAGACTGAAGGGGAGGAGCCGGTACACCTGTGCAAGACTGAAGGGGAGGAGCCGGTACACCTGTGCCAGACTGAAGGGGAGGAGCCGGTACACCTGTGCAAGACTGAAGGGGAGGAGCCGGTACACCTGTGCCAGACTGAAGGGGAGGAGCCGGTACACCTGTGCCAGACTGAAGGGGAGGAGCTGGTACACCTGTGCAAGAAGAAGAGGGTGCAGCTGAGCTCATACACTGACCAATGATGGGGAGACGATGATTTCTCAGATTGATTTGTATATTGACATCTGATTGCATTCAGCTGCACACTGAATATAATGATCGGTATCGTCACGTGACCAGCTGTGCATATGATTGGTCAGACTGGGAGTTTTGAATGTATAGAACATAATTATAGACATTGTATCACTAAATCAATATTGGTCATTTTATCAGTAATATTTGTACCTCGGGTGAATTTTTGGTTTTTGTTTGAACATTTCAGGGATATTTGGACTCCTGTGAGAAATATGTAGAATCCATATACCGAAGACATTGATTGTAAGGGTTAACAACGATATTTTGGGGGAGATTTATTCAAACCGGCGAGTGCAAAGTCTGGTGCAGCTGTGCATGGGAGCCAATCAGCTTCTAGCTTTTGCTTCTGCTATTGCGGGGTGCAATCTTTCAGGCCGTGGGGTGTTCACCCCTTCCCACCACTCCAGTGACTCTTCCTCCATAGGCCTTCCATTCGTAGCCCTCATAAAGCCCTAGGCTGGGCCGGCCTGATATTACAGGGTGCGATCTTCCCGGGCCATGGGGCGTTCACCCCTTCCCACCACTCCAGTGAGTCTTCCTCCATAGACCTTCTATTCATAGCCCTCATAAAGCCCTAGGCTGGGTCGGCCTGCTATTGCGGGGTGTGATTTTCCTAGGCCATGGGGTGTTCACCCCTTCCCACCTCTCCAGTGACTCTTCCTCCACAGACCTTCCATTCGTAGCCCTCATAAAGCCCTAGGCTGGGCTGGCCTGTTATCGTGGCGTGTGATTTTCCCGGGCCGTGGGGTGTTCCCCCCTTCCCACCATTCCAGTGACTCTTCCTCCATAGACCTTCAGTTCGTAGCCCTCATAAAGCCCTAGGCTGAGCCGACCTGCTATCGCAGGGTGCGATCTTCCCGGGCCGTGGGGCGTTCACCCCTTCCCACCTCTCCAGTGACTCTTCCTCCACAAACCTTCCATTCGTAGCCTTCATAAAGCCCTAGGCTGGCCCGGCCTTCTATTGCGAGGTGTGCTCCAGCTATGTCAGCCTCGGAGGTTGAGGCTTCTGAGATGAAAGAGAAGACAAAGCCTCATTGTGTATGAGGAGAGAGAGGCGGCCAAGGAGAAGATCTATGGAATGTACATTGGGAGAACATCTGGGTGAAACGTGTGAGATCTCCCCATAGAAGGACTCTTATCGGCCTCTCCTTTCACTTCAATGACAGATTAACGTGTGCAAAGCTTCCTTCAGAATGGATGGCGGATCTCTGACACCAGATCCTGATTCATTGAAGGCCAGAGACGTGTAGATGGAAGGCGGCCAACAGGCAGCAAAGCAGGTAGTGCAGGTTATAGTTTATCTGTGATCATGATGGAGTGCAGCAGCCCAAGATAAAGGAACACCGGAGCACCGGGGGAATCTATGGGGGTGTTATATTCTGTATCCCTGTATTATAATTACCACTTGCAGCCAACAGGTGTAGCTCTACACAAGGTCTGTCCTGTGAAATCTCTTCCTCTGTGGATGCTATTGTCCTGAAATAGACCCAACTGAGCCAGAAGAAGTTCAACTCCCTTCAGGAAACATTAATGTGTGAAGATTATTCAGCCATATGTTACCTTGATAAATGTATAGGATGCAGATGGCAAAAAAAACAAACAATGAGAAAGCCCAGCACTACCTGCGTGTCTTTTGGAAAACTTTGTTATTCTACCTGTTAAAGTGGAACTGGACCCTAGAATGACTATGAGCCTTAAACAGCCATATATATGAATCCTGAACAATGACAACAATACCAACAATAATAATAATAACTAGAAAAGCTACAATTTCTGGGGAAATTGTGTGAAGTGTTCTTGCCTCCACCAGTAGTCTACAACTGGAGTGGGCGGAGTAACTGGGTGGAGTGGACAGAGTAACTGGGTGGAGTGGGCGGAGTAACAGGGTGGAGTGGCTGGAGTAACTGTAAAAAGGTTGGACTGGGCAGAGTAACTGTGTGGAGTGGGCGGAGTAACTGGGTGGAGTGGGCAGAGTAAATGGGTGGAGTGGGCAGAGTAACTGGGTGGAGTGGGCAGAGTAACTGGGTGGAGTGGGCGGAGTAACTGGGTGGAGTGGCGGAGTAACTGTAAAAAGGTTGGACTGGGCAGAGTAACTGTGTGGAGTGGGCGGAGTAACTGGGTGGAGTGGGCAGAGTAACTGGGTGGAGTGGGCAGAGTAACTGGGTGGAGTGGGCGGAGTAACTGGGTGGAGTGGGCGGAGTAACTGGGTGGAGTGGGCGGAGTAACTGTAAAAAGGTTGGACTGGGCAGAGTAACTGTGTGGAAAGGGCGGAGTAACTGGGTGGAGTGGGCGGAGTAACTGGGTGGAGTGGGCGGAGTAACTGTTGTGTGGTTGGAGTAACTTTATGGACTGGGCAGAGTGGAGTGTTTGGAGTGAGTAAAGATAGTAAACATTACGCTCACACACCTGGGTTCCTATGGCAACTCACTCTACAGCAAGGGCAGAGAAGAGCGGTTAAAAACAAACTGCTCCAACTTGCTCACTTCACTGGCGGTTGCCATCTTCAAACGGTGGTAGTTTAAAAATTATAAATCCTACACCGAAGAGCTTTATATTGTGAGAATCACAAGACCCAGACCTACATTTTGATGCATAGTTTGTCTGTGAAATATTAAAAATGAAGGCACAGTCGCAGTTTAGAATTTGCCCTTCAAATTTCAGGTGGCTAGAGTGGAGTTTCAATGAATGTCAATGGGCGGCGTGAGTTGCAAACAAATGGTAATATTGTGAGAACTATCAGGACTATGGCTTAGCCGTGGACATTTTTAGTGGCAGCAGGGATAGCTGAACGTTTTGATATGAGATTTGTGTAGGTGGCTTAAAAATGAGGGAGTGACGGCAGTTTAGAATTCATGTCCGGATTTTTCAGCTCCCACTCTAGCTTTTGAACATTCCGCCATTCATTCCTATGGGACCAATTTCACCACAAAAACGCAGATATTTCGTGAACCATTCGGTGAAACGTTCCACAAAGTAATAGCCCACCAATCAGGAACAATCCGCACGTTTCAGTATATTACTGTCTATGTAGTGTAAACACTGTGGGAGGAGTCAGGGAGTAAATGTGGGAGGAGTCAGGGGGGTAAATTTGGCTATAATAATACGAATATATATGTGAGATAACAGGAAGTGGTCGCCATGCAGGAACACTTAAAAACAACTAGAACACATGTAGCTTGATAAATACATAGGACGCAGATGAAAAATAAGTATTAGGAAAGCCCAGCACTACCTGCGTGTCTTTTGGCAAACTGTGTTATTCCACCTATTGAAGGGGCAGCAAACCCTAGAATGACTCTGTGAACATTAAACAGCCATAGAACACATGTAGCTTGATAAATGTATAGGACACAGATGTGAAAAAACTGTTAAGAAAGCCCAGCACTAGAAATGAACATCTGTTCCTAACCTCTCATGAATGAATAAGCGGTACCACATCCCAAAATGCATTTTTCTGTCATGTACTTTGGCACCTTCAAGTCCCTAGTTCCTCTTTTATTCCCCCTGCGGTTTCTATTCATAAAGCCCAGCACTACCTTTGTGTCTTTTGGCAAACTATGTTATTCCACCTGTTAAAGTGGAACTAGAATTACTGTATGAACATTAAACAGCGATATATATAAATCCTGAAAAATTATAATAATACCAACTAGAACACATGTAGCTTGATAAATACATAGGATGCAGATGAAAAATAATTATTAGGAAAGCCCAGCACTACCTGCGTGTCTTTTGGCAAACTGTGTTATTCCACCTATTGAAGGGGCAGCAAACCCTAGAATGACTCTGTGAACATTAAACAGCCATAGAACACATGTAGCTTGATAAATACATAGGAAGCAGATGAAAAATAATTATTAGGAAAGCCCAGCACTACCTGCGTGTCTTTTGGCAAACTGTGTTATTCCACCTATTGAAGGGGCAGCAAACCCTAGAATGACTCTGTGAACATTAAACAGCCATAGAACACATGTAGCTTGATAAATTCATAGGACTCAGATGTCCAAAAAAGAAATGAGAAAGCCCAGCACTACCTTTGTGTCTTTTGGCAAACTGTGTTATTCCATCTGTTAAAGTGGAACTAGAATTACTGTATGAACATTAAACAGCGATATATATAAATCCTGAAAAATTATAATAATAATAATAATAACTACAACACATGTACTATGATAAATACTATAAATACATAGGATGCAGATGGCAAAAACGTTTTTAGGAAAGCCTAGCACTACCTGCGTGTCTTTTGGCAAACTGTGTTATTCCACCTGTTAAAGTGGAACTAGAATTACTGTATGAACATTAAACAGCGATATATATAAATCCTGAAAAATTATAATAATAACAACTAGAACACATGTAGCTTGATAAATACATAGGATGCAGATGAAAAATAATTATTAGGAAAGCCCAGCACTACCTGCGTGTCTTTTGGCAAACTGTGTTATTCCACCTATTGAAGGGGCAGCAAACCCTAGAATGACTCTGTGAACATTAAACAGCCATAGAACACATGTAGCTTGATAAATACATAGGAAGCAGATGAAAAATAATAATTATTAGGAAAGCCCAGCACTACCTGCGTGTCTTTTGGCAAACTGTGTTATTCCACCTGTTGAAGGGGCAGCAAACCCTAGAATGACTCTGTGAACATTAAACAGCCATAGAACACATGTAGCTTGATAAATTCATAGGACTCAGATGTCCAAAAAAGAAATGAGAAAGCCCAGCACTACCTTTGTGTCTTCTGGCAAACTGTGTTATTCCATCTGTTAAAGTGGAACTAGAATTACTGTATGAACATTAAACAGCGATATATATAAATCCTGAAAAATTATAATAATAATAACTACAACACATGTACCATGATAAATACTATAAATACATAGGATGCAGATGGCAAAAACGTTTTTAGGAAAGCCCAGCACTACCTGCGTGTCTTTTGGCAAACTGTGTTATTCCACCTATTGAAGGGGCAGCAAACCCTAGAATGACTCTGTGAGCATTAAACAGCCATAGAACACGTGTACATGGATATGGTTGTCCAGCAATCAGCATTGGATAATGTACCAGCGGCACCAAGAGAATGGTGTCACTCAGCTCCCCTCATGTTATCTGCCATTTCACAGCTTCAGGGCACAAAGGAAGTGTTTCCCAGTCAGGCTTTTCAATCACAAGTCAGAGATAACATGGGGGAAGGGTGGGGGGGACTGAGTGACACCATGAGCTGCATAATGTCCCTGGTTAATGGCCGGAGGTTTCTAATGCAGATTGCAGGACACACCCAGAGGGCAGGCAGGTGTCAGGTATGGTGTCAGGTATGGTGTCAGGTATGGTGTCAGGTAAGGTGTCAGGTAAGGTGTCAGGTATGGTGTCATGCATTTATCCATGGTACACGTGTCACATGGCTGTTTAATGGTCATAGAGTAGTTCCATGAACTTGGTGGAATATTAGGCTGCCAACAGACGCAGAGGTAGTGCTGGGCTTTCTCACCGGCTTCTCTTGCCATTTGTGTCCTGTGCAGGTATCGGGGTACACGTGTCACATGGCTCCTTCATGTTCATGGCGTGATTCCAGGGCGGACTGATGGAGTCTGCCGAAAGGTACAAAGCTAGTGCTAGGCTTTCCTCATATGTTGTGTCGTCATTGGCATCCTGTACATTTCTCCGGTGTCACATGACTGCTTACTGCTAATAAATGATATTAATATATTTCAGGGTCATTAACAAGTAACATTGTTGTCACAAAGAGGAAGTGCTGGGCTTTCTCATTAGATATAGTAGATTCACATTACTTACTGCTCTGTACAGACATTGTGAGACGCTCGCAGTGTGCAGTGAAGTCAGGAGGGGATGCAGCCTGACAGTCTGCAGAATCCCTGCATTGCACCGGAGATCTGCTGATCCAACGCGCCTTACAGGATCCGAAAACATAAATAATAATAAATGCATAGATTACCTGCACAGAAAATGTGCATTTATTTATTTTTTTTTCAGAAAGGTGTATTGGCTCCTCCCCTTCAGTCTTGAACAGGTGTAGCAGCTCCTCCCCTTCAGCCTTGCACAGGTGTAGCAGCTCCTCCCCTTCAGCCTTGCACAGGTGTATCAGCTCCGCCCCTTCAGTCTTGCACAGGTGTAGCAGCTCCTCCCCTTCAGCCTTGCACAGGTGTATCAGCTCCGCCCCTTTCAGTCTTGAACAGGTGTAGCAGCTCCTCCCCTTCAGCCTTGCACAGGTGTATCAGCTCCTCCCCTCCAGTCTTGCACAGGTGCACCGGCCCCTCCCCTCCAGTCTTGCACAGGTGTATCGGCTCCTCCCCTCCAGTCTTGCACAGGTGTATTGGCTCCTCCCCTCCAGTCTTGCACAGGTGTACCAGCTCCTCCCCTCCAGTCTTGCACAGGTGTATTGGCTCCTCCCCTCCAGTCTTGCACAGGTGTATCGGCTCCTCCCCTCCAGTCTTGCACAGGTGTATTGGCTCCTCCCCTCCAGTCTTGCACAGGTGTACCAGCTCCTCCCCTCCAGTCTTGCACAGGTGTATTGGCTCCTCCCCTCCAGTCTTGCACAGGTGTATTGGCTCCTCCCCCAGACAGGAATGGCTTCCTCTGATGTCACTGCACTCTGGGAACTTCTCACAACGTGCATTAGAAGCTGCAGCCAATCAGATAGAGCTCCACCTCATTTCCTGGCTGGGGGACGTCCAGCATGATCACGCCCTTTCCTCCCCAGCCTGACTGGCCCTGGCCCCTCCCCGTTCATTCATTGGCTTTGATTTCTTTCAATCATAGAGGCTCAGCATCAGATGTGGGAGTTACCTAGGGTGGCCTGTATGCAAATACCTGCCTAGGACCGCCCACTCCTCCAGACCGACACCCACCCACCCATCAAGGCATTCTGATATTTGCATAACTCCACCCACGAGCCAGCCCACAGCTTGTATCAGAAGTGAGGGCTCTGGAGAGGAGCACTGGGGCAGGGGGCTGTGATGTTCCCAGGAAGAAGCCCCCTGCCAGCACCTCCCAGCCACCATCTGCCTGTATTGCATAGAGAAGCAGAGAGATCAAGTAAGTCCAACATAAGGTAGGTAATGACAATGTAAAGGTTGTTAGCGTGTCCATGTTGGGGGAGGGGAACCAGAAAAGAAACAGATTAAATGTCATCTGTCATGTCCATGAATGAGGGGCGTGGCAACCGATCCGCTCCAAGCGATGAAAAGTCATCCAGCACGAGGGAAATCTGCACCGGAACCTCAGATGGCAGCAACCGAGGTTCTACTCCTCCCCCGCTCCACCCAAACCCGGAGGTTCTACTCCTCCCCCGCTCCACCCAAACTCTGGAGGTTCTACTCCTCCCCCGCTCCACCCAAACCCAGGGGTTCTACTCCTCCCCCGCTCCACCCAAACCCGGAGGTTCTACTCCTCCCCCGCTCCACCCAAACCCGGGGGTTCTACGCCTCCCCCGCTCCACCCAAACCCGGGGGTTCTACTCCTCCCCCGCTCCACCCAAACCCGGAGGTTCTACTCCTCCCCCGCTCCACCCAAACCCGGAGGTTCTACTCCTCCCCCGCTCCACCCAAACCCGGAGGTTCTACTCCTCCCCCGCTCCACCCAAACCCGGAGGTTCTACGCCTCCCCCGCTCCACCCAAACCCGGAGGTTCTACGCCTCCCCCGCTCCACCCAAACCCGGAGGTTCTACTCCTCCCCCGCTCCACCCAAACCCGGAGGTTCTACTCCTCCCTCGCTCCACCCAAACCCGGAGGTTCTACTCCTCCCCCGCTCCACCCAAACCCGGAGGTTCTACGCCTCCCCCGCTCCACCCAAACCCGGAGGTTCTACGCCTCCCCCGCTCCACCCAAACCCGGAGGTTCTACGCCTCCCCCGCTCCACCCAAACCCGGAGGTTCTACTCCTCCCCCGCTCCACCCAAACCCGGAGGTTCTACTCCTCCCCCGCTCCACCCAAACCCGGGGATTCTACGCCTCCCCCGCTCCACCCAAACCTGGAGGTTCTACTCCTCCCCCGCTCCACCCAAACCTGGTAGAAGATCCTGCGGCTGAGTGACACCTGGAAGATTACCCGCAATCTGTAGGGGGGCCCCGAGGAGCGCCATTGCTGGGCCAAGACATCCCCTCCCCACCCCCCCCATACTGGGGCGCTCCGGCTTTTCCCGTGATAAATTATTTCCAAGAGAAGGGGAAATAATGGCGCCCCCCCCCCCCTCCCCCCCCCCACGATGGAAGGGATTAGCGCGCTGCGAAGATTTACGGGGAATCGCGGCCAAATTTGTTGATGTGAAGATTAGAAACGGTTTCACGTAATTGGAAAGAGGGATTAGGCGAGGAGGCTGCTGGCTGGCGCGGCGCGGCGGGTTGCCATGGCGATGGGCGTGCGGCTCGCTCATGTTTTTCCTCCCGCCTGTGACACCATTCCACGCAGATTCTGTTCTCTTCAGGTCTAGAATTCCAAAATATTTTCGGAGGTTTTATTTCCTCTTTCGGGTGACGGACGCGGCGCAGAAAACGCAAACTCATTTCTGGGCGGAGGGAACGCGCTCGCTGGGTCTTTCGGCCGGACCCCCCCCCCCCCCCTCCTCCCCCCATCACAGCCCGCCGAAAAGTCGGGGATCAATGGGAACCAATCCTCTCACTTCCTGTTTTGGCTATGGGACAGGAAGTGAAATCTCCCCAATGGGAACACAGATGGATATGGGACAGGAAGTGAAGGGAAATCTCCCCCATGGGAACACAGATGAATATGGGACAGGAAGTGAAGGGAAATCTCCCCAATGAGGCACAGATGGATATGGGACAGGAAGTGAAGGGAAATCTCCCCAATGAGGCACAGATGGATATGGGACAGGAAGTGAAGGGAAATCTCCCCAATGGGGCACAGATTGATATGGGACAGGAAGTGAAGGGAAATCTCCCCCATGGGAACACAGATGGATATGGGACAGGAAGTGAAGGGGAATCTCCCCAATGGGAACACAGATGGATATGGGACAGGAAGTGAAAGGAAATCTCCCCAATGGGGCACAGATGGTGACAACAGTGGGCCATGTCTGGGTGATGTGCATTAATATGACCACTTGTAGTCTCCATCTGAAGCCCACAAGACAGGGTGACAACAGAGGAGCACAAATGAGACAGGGGACAGAGCGTTGCCACCGTACAACAGGAAGAGCCTGCTCTGGGACCTTCATGGAGGGATCACCGGGGATTATTGTAACAAAAGATGCAAATTTAAAACAAAGTTGAACATTTCTTTTTAACCCCTCCCCCTCTGGAGGATTCCCCCCTCCCTGACCAGGCCATTTTATGTGTTACAGCGCTGCGTTACTTTAACTGACAATTGCGCGGTCATGCAACCCAAATGAAATTTACCTCCTTTTTCCCCACGAATTGAGCTTTCTTTCGGTTTTGTGCTATATAAAAAAAAAAAAAGATACAACAGTCATTGACTAACATGGGATTTCACGTCATGCGACTCGGGGGTCTCACAAGTCATGCGACTCGGGGGTCTCACATGCATGCGACTCGAGGGTCTCACATGTCATGCGACTGGGGGATTTCACATGCCATGCGACTCGGGGGTCTCACGTGTCATGCGACTCGGGGGTCTCACGTGTCATGCGACTCGGGGGTCTCACGTGCCAAATGCGACTCGGGGGTCTCACGTGCCATGCGACACGGGGGTCTCACGTGCCATGCGACTCGGGGGTCTCACATGTCATGCGACTTGGGGGTCTCACGTGCCAAATGCGACTCGGGGGTCTCACGTGTCAAGCGACTCGGGAAATGTACATTTCACCCCCCCTTATGTGATGTCATATCTATACCCGAACGCAGCGTGTCCTTCCTGAGATCCGGACTGAAGAAGTGCGGTGACTCGTGGCAGCCAATCAGATCGCAGCTTCCAGCATTTTGGAACACAGTGAGGCGTCATGAAGTAAAAGGTCGATCGTTCTGCTTCTGTAGAATTCGTCGCAGTCCTTCCTCATTAATATAAATGAATAGAAGACGATGGCGGACAGCTTGCCCCGCGCTGCGATATTCGCATTACTTCACCAACATTATGGTAATGCGATTTGTTCGGCTTCATAAATTCGCCACATTATCATCCAGGAAACAAAAGGCAGCCCCCCCTTCCCCCTTCCCCCCGCCTCCACATCCGTGATCGCAATTTAAAACGTCCATTATTTTGGCGGTGAAAGGCCAGTCAGGATCGGCGTGAAGTCGCCCACCGCCCTGAGCCTCACCGCGGACTAGCGATCGACTGACAACAGACACTTCTGTGTTCCCACTTGGCCGGCCTGTCGGCTCCTCAGGAGTACAATGCCTTCGGAAGAGACGCCGTCATCGAATGTTCGCATTCCGGATCGGTTTCTGCCGACGGCGCGATCCCATGATTGGGGGTCCCTGTTGGGGTCCCTACAGACGAGGACCCCGAATCCGGCCCCCCGAATGTTTTCAGAACTGTTCTCCCGTGTCACCTGCAGAGGCTGGAAGTGTTTGTGGAGGTTCACCTCCGGCATGGCGGCTCAGGTGACGGAATGATGCGATTGGGCGGATCGCTGGAACTCTTCATCTTGCATTTGAAGGCACGAAAAACGATGGCATTGTCCGGCGTTCACCCGGCGCCAACCGCCATTGTGACTCCGAGAGCCACCGAGACGCAGCCAATGGTTGGCGGCTTCTGTATGCCGACTATTCGGAGGAACCCATACGAGTCAATGCGACCCAAATATTCATCCCCAATAACCAGCTGACCGCCCAACGCGTTTCGACCCGCCGCCCCTCCCCCGCTTACAGGGAATATGAAACCTTTATAGGATGGAAATGTCATCTGCTTCCAGCGACCAATCATATCACTTCCCAGTATGAGGGCCACATTGTATATTTTACAGGGGCCACATCAGAGCCCCTCCCACACACACATTAGAGTCCCCCTACACACCAGAGACCCCATCAGTGTCCCCCCTTTACATCGGAAGCCCCCCCCTTATATATCAGAGCCCTCCCTTACATCAGAGACCTCTATTCACATAAGAAGCCCCCCATTACTTTAGAGCCCCTCTTACATATCAGAGCCCTCCCTTACATCAGGGACCTCTTCAGTGCCCCCCCTTCACATCAGAGACCTCCATTCACATCAGAAGCCCCCCCATGTATATCAGAGCCCCCCCTCACATCAAAGACACCTATTCACATCAGAAGCCCCCATTACTTCAGAGCCCCCCCTTACATATCAGAGCCCTCCCTTACATAAGGGACCCAATCAGTGCCCCCCTTCACTTCAGAGACCCCCCTTCACATCAGAAGCCCCCCCATCACTTCAGAGCCCCCCTTATATATCAGAGCTCCCCCCATTCACATCAGAGACCTCAATTCACATAAGAAGCCCCCCATTACTTCAGAGCCCCTCTTACATATCAGAGCCCTCCCTTACATCAGAGACCTCTTCAGTGCCCCCCCCTTCACATCAGAGACCCCCCCCTTCACATCAGAGACCTCCATTCACATCATAAGCCCCCCCATCACTTTCAAAGCCCCCCCATGTATATCAGAGCCCCCCCTCACATCAAAGACACCTATTCACATCAGACGCCCCCCATTACTTCAGAGCCCCCCTTACATATCAGAGCCCTCCCTTACATAAGGGACCCAATCAGTACCCCCTTCACATCAGAAGCCCCCCCCATCACTTCAGAGCCCCCCTTATATATCAGAGCTCCCCCCATTCACATCAGAGACCTCTATTCACATA